CATTTATATTTCTTTCTATTATTATCAAGATAAATCTATTAAGTATAATTTGTTTACTACTGTTTACTTAAGCTCTATTTTACTCCATACAGACTTTAAAACGATTAGATATCATCTTTGAGTAATCTTTCCTATACTTATGAAACATCCCTACCACTTTTCACTCATTGGCTCGATTCTATTCTTCTAAATAATAATAATAATCAGAAGGGGCTTTTTGTGGAGATTTAGTATTTTCATAGTTTAAAGCGTGAGTCAGTTTAAGCTAGACCACCAAGGAAAACATGGAAGCACCGGACGGCCGTTTCGTCCTATTATGGGAATCCCCAGCAGTGCGCATCCACGACCTCGCCCCACGAGCTTCGAATCCAGGACCTACCAGTCCCGCGCCAGAGCAATTAACCGATAAACCAGTGAGCCGGCATCTGATGGTGCTTATGTCTAACTCCAACCAGTCCACGAAGTTGAGCGACCGTTCACCAATTATCTTCAGTGAGTTCCTATCGTGGATGTGTACTGCCACTGAGGAGTCCCACAACAGGACGAAACGGCCGTCCAGTGCTTCCAGGTTTTCCCTGATTGTCTAGCTTCCATTGACTAACGCTTTCAACTATGAAAATAATAATAATAACTGATACGTATCAAAGTATTTTTTCGTTCCGAATAGCGTTATGTAAACTCAATTTACGCCATAACCTTGAACTGGTAACTATGATAAAATAAATAATGGGTGTGTAGATTTTAAATAGTCTTTGTTTTATGCACCTATCTACCTATCTAATTCATAGATTTTTAAATGAATTATTTAGTTTACTATCTATTCAATAGTTACCAACATGTTGTTAATCATTGTTAACAATGAATGTTATACTCATTATGATTATCTATATTAATGACTTGTATGATGTTTAATATACATTAGTTTATTGTCTATTACTATGTCACTATATAATTTATAAGTTGTATACAGGTAGGTGAGTATGAGTTGAATGTGTAACCAGTGATTATAAATGAAAGACAATTAAAGATATATAGTTTTAATAAATGAAGAGTAAATAACAGCAAATTCAATGTATTAGAGAAAAGTAAAAACAATCTAGATATTTTAAGCAAAGATGGATAGTGGCTAGCAGTTGAATCCACGACGCGCGTTTCATCCTATTTAGGACTCGTCAGCTGGATGTACCTGCATCTCAGTTGATGTTCACTTTGGGACTCGAACCCAGTACCTTTCGCTCCAAACGCCATCGGGTTATCTACTCGGCCACTGAGTCCTGATAGCCACCTTCTTGTGCAATGGTGTGTTTTAATGGGAAGGTTCAAACAAACAATACTAAATCTAGATATTTGTATCATTTATTACTAATTATGAACCATTTCCATGAGGAGCCTACATTGACTGCTTTTTGTGAATGCAAAAATATTACAACTTGTGGCCGAGTGGATACCTTGTTAACGTATGAACGTGATTAGACCGCCGACCAGAGAGTAGCGAATTATCGATTAGAACAGTGATACGCGGAAACCGTATGAGCAGTCTAGAGTACTTGTCGGTCCTACTGTAGTGAACAAGAACACGGGTGGGGGAAATCGAATGTATTTAGACACAAATTACAAACTATCCCACTAAATTCTGATAACCATACAGTAAACAGTTAATTTGCAAAATAACAACCAATTGTTTCAATCTACACTGTTCCTTCTGTAAATATCAATCCATCTTCTCTAATTTCATTTTTTGTGCATTTTCCTACCAGTTGCGCTTCATTTCAGTTCTTTCCTTATCGGTCTTCTGCCAAAATACACTCTATGTCTGACCATCACAATATACTACTTATATGGATATAAGTAGACCACACCACACTACTTCTGCCTAGCCCAGTCAGTTAAGTCCAGATCAGCCTCTGAGGTATGAATCATTGTATTTCAAACATACTGAGTTTATATACCAATCAAACTGAACACATCGTACCATAAAATAGAAATCATCATATGTACAAGATTTAGCCAAACGTGGCTGTGAATAAGGGGGAACATTAATATGAATAGTTTAGTTATTTAACAATTATACGATTTAAAAAATATGTGCATAATATTGGTCCATAAATGATTCCCAAAAGTTACCATTCATAATTCTCTTCGGGATACAACAAACAAGGTAATTATAATCAGAAGGGGTTTTGTGGAGATCTCAGTATTTTTTATAATTGAAATCATGAGTCAATTGAAGCTAGACCACCAAGGAGAACCTTGAAGCACTGGACGACCGTTTCGTCCTATTGTGGGACTCCTCAGCAGGACGAAACGGCCGTCCAGTGCTTCCAGGTTTTCCATGGTGGTCTAGCTTCAATTGACTCATGATTTCAACTATGAAACAAGGTAATTGTTGATTGATATTACAGTTAACATATATGCCAATAATCTCAGTTAACTAAAAATCATGTAATCATTTCACAAAACTTTATTATATACCATCATACTTACTTACGCCTGTTACTCCCAATGGAACATAGACCGCCGACCAGCATTCTCCAACCCACTCTGTCTTGGGCCCTCCTTTCTAGTTCTATCCTAGTTTTGTTCATTCTTCTCACATCTGTCTCCATTTTTCGGCGTAACGTGTTCACTGGTCTTCCTCTTTTCCTTTGGCCTTCAGGATTCCATGTGAGGGATTGCCTTGTAACGCAGTTGGGTGATTTCCTCAGCCGTCATACTACTATCAATTTCCATAATTATCTTACATTTCTTCTTGATGTCTAATATATTTCATCTTTTCAAAGCATCTATTTCAAATCTAAAATAATATCAAAAAAAGTATTTATATTTAAAGTAAACGACTTAATCAAGATGTGGAGTCAGTCCATGAAGTTAATGTATGTTGATTTGAATTATTGTAGATAGGTGCAGACTGTCTGCTTGTAATCTTCACTATAATTTTAACTAATAGTTGAAGATATTGAATAAAATGGCTAAGAATTGATTGAAATGATGAGAATATTTCAGACATTTTCTTTCCATAAGTTTTAAGTTCTCAACATACTTAGTTACTTACGCCTGTTACCCTTCGTAGAGGAGCATAGGTCGCACACCAGCATTCCCCATGCAACCCCGTCCCGGGCAATCGTTTCTAGTTCTTTCCAGTTAACATTCATTCTTTTCATATCTGCTTCTATTTCCCAGTGTTACGTGTTCCTTGGCTTCCTCTTTTCCGCTGCCTTCAGGATTCCAAGTTAGGTATTGCCTGATGATGCGATTTGGTGATTTCCTCAATGTATGTCCCATCCGTTTCCAATGTCTTTTCCTAATTTCCTCTTCAACTGGAAGCTGGTTTGTCCTTTCCCATAAAACGCTGTTGCTGATAGTATCCAACCAGTGAATGTTGAGTATTTTGTGTAGACAACTGTTTAGAAATACTTGTACCTTCTTGACTATGGATGTAGTAGTTCTCCACGTTTCAGCTCCATACAGTAGGACTGTCTTGACGTTCGTTTTGAAAATTCTCACTTAGAAATTAGTTGACAATTGTTTTGAGTTCCATATGTTCTTCAATTGTAGAAATGCTTTGAGTTCCATATGTTCTTCAATTGTAGAAATGCTTTGAGTTCTAAAGTTATCTTATAATATTCTCTTTCCCAAAGCTTTTTTATTACCGCTGATATTTTTACTATGGCTAGACAATATATATATTCTTGGATGACCTCTGTAAGATACTAAATTGACCATGAGAAACTTCAACCTCATACTCGGTTTGATATATGATTGTATGAGCAAACATTTACAATTTCATAGAACAAGGCATCTATGACCAAATGATGTGTATATAAATGATCAAGTTATATGGTTACTCCTACTCAAGATTTGATGACATGTCACAGACGATTGTAAAAAACCAGTTTCATATGTCGATTTTTCGTCTTATCAAATTAATGTGAGGAATTAGGACTTTTATTGAAAACTGTCATCAGCTTTAATGTTAGAATGCTGTTTAACTATAAGAATGAAAGAAATCTGAGCTAAAATCTAGGATGTGTTTTTTGAAACATCATTGATTCAACTACGAACAACAATCATGCTGTTACTACTTCTGCTACCCGGACATTTTCCTTGATAATCTCATCCAACTGTCCTTATATAGTGTCGTAACAACTAGAACTATTGTATATGTATTTCAATTTATGTGTCTTTTTCTAACTGACCGGCTGATCATCATGTGAGCTATTAACAAAATGAATATTCCCTATGAACTTCTCTTCCTAGTAAAAAATAACGACAAAAGTTTTATGTATTTCTTCTAACTTTTTTAGTTGTTCTTCTCTCTTCATAGCATCCATTACCTTTCTGAGTATTGGGTTATATAGATTGTTGAACTTTATTGAAATCATGAACCGATCAATGTTAGACTACCAGTAAAAACATGGAAACACTGAATGGTCGTTTCCTTCTACTATGGGACTCTTCGGCAGTGCACCTCTACGATCTCACACTCATACGTGAATTGAACACAGGACCTTTGGTGTCACCTGCAAACACTAAGTCTCTAGACCACTGAACCATCATCTGACGGTTTTGATGACTAACTTCAATCAATCCACGATATTACGTGACCATCTTCCATTGTCTGAGGTAGATACCTGTCTTTATCCGACACAAGTTGAACTCCACTAGTCACGGCTTCTCGCTAGAACTTCAGAAATTTTCTCTTGCATCTAATCACTAGTTAGCTCATGATCATTGTCAGTGTATGGTGTTAGGAATTACTCATTACATTCACTTTTTATTATCTAAGTTATATTTTACATAACAGATTATAAAACATTCAGATCTCACTTTCAAATGATCTTTCCTATAAATATGATACGTCCTTATCCTAAATCATCCTTTGACAGAATCCTATTCTCTTAAATAATAATAACAGTAAAAAGTGATATTAATCAAAATATTTTTTTTCCGATCAGCAATATGTTTACTGGTTGTTTTTTTATTTCAACTTATATTTTCAGTGACATCAGATTCATGGAGTTTTTTTCGTGGTGTAACCTACTTATTTCGTATAGAAAATGATGAAGATGAATGGATCTATGATGAAGAACCACATGTGTCAAGACGAAAAGTGTGTTATGTAATAGGTTATTACTATTATTATTATTATTATTACATTGTTCATTGTACCTTGTTAAATTTATTCACAAACTATTATTGTCCAATTAAAATATGCAGATCAGAGAATGTATCTCTATCGATACCATCATCTGAAACTACTACAAATATTCGTTTTGGTTTGATTAGTGTATGTATATTGATGTTGTAAAACACAACAATAAACAGTGGGGAAGCTTATTAATTACAAGAAGTTACAAAGTATTTATATAATACATTTAGATAGTCTTCAACCGTCTGTTTGCATCTTCTGGTGTGTTCTACAATCTGAACTGTCTTCATGACTGACCTTCAAGTGTTCTGCCAACGCCGTTCTTTTAATACACTTAACCTATTCGCTCTGTCCAACAGTTGTTGCAACTTCAACACCGTGTTCCGATAAACTACTTACAAACATCCTTGTGAATAGCGTCTACTACTATATATATATACCGATTGTGTAATAAATTTGTCTTTTACAACACGAAGTTCAGCGAAGGGTTCTCTTTTCAACGAATTTATTATCAAGCTGTACAGTCGTATATATAAATTTGTCTTTAACCTGTACTCAAATTGTATTTGCTGGTTGTCTGAAAGAAAACACCTTACTGCTGTCACACCTCTGTACAGTCAGCAGCACGACTTCGGACCTTGGGTTTACTGCTTTTAGTCTTACCGCTCTTCAACCGACCTGTCTGACATGGTAGGACCTTGAGGAACGATTGTTCCAGCCAGTATATCTCTATCGGTTCATCAAGATAGGCAAGCCCGACCACCATGTCAAGGTAGCAGAAACGGTCGGGATCTATGGACATGAAACATTCAACAACAGTCTTTGAATTTTTCATTTATAAATGACAATATCAAATTTATATTAAAATGAAACTATGAAACAAACAATCGAGTATATAAAGTGACTTTAGTCCTTATGATAACCACAGATGGATATTTAAATAATTGTGGATGCATGAGTAAAAATAATCAAGATCTATACTTAACAAGCTCGTGATAATTCATTGTAACTGGCTTCAAATATAATAAAATCAAGAACAATATAAAAATATAAATCAACAAAATCAGTCAGCTACAATGTTGGACCAGGCACATCTATGCATTGGTCCAAGTTGCCATACCTCGTTAGCAGAACAAGATGAACACCGAATTCATAGAAAAAGTTAATTTAGTGGTTGTAGTATATAAAAGAAAGATTGTATTTAAGGATATAGTATAGGAAGACAGATATGAAGCAATTTTAATCTCACGATTTAAGGGAAGATAAAGAGTGTAGTCACCTATGTTATTGTGATCGATTTTGAGCTATGTCACCTATAGTCTCCAACCATTGGTTACGATAGTCACGCGGACCCCAACCAAGTAGTCTGCACCTACCAACATGACTCAGACTAGAAGTTAGTAACTTCAAGCACTGATGTCATGTTTTTATTTGCCGCCCCTAACTCTCTTCCAACCATCCCCTACACTAGTCAGTATAGCGTGTCGTGGTAATCGGTGTTCAGGCATACGTAACACGTGGCCCAACCATCTCAGTCGATGAAGATTCATAACCTCAACAACAAAGAATCTACTCAATGGTCATTAAGTAATAATGAGTAGAGATAGTTAAAAGTTTTTTTTGTTCACATTAATAGTTAACAACCAATTCAACTTCTAGTATATAATTCGATTTAAACAAATTAATATATACACTAGTTACTTAGTATAACTTATTATTGTTTGAATAAATTCATCTTCAGTTATCCACAAACTAGACTCTTTTGTTCATTTCAAAATATATTCATATTTAAATGTTATGATGAACCTAAACAAAAAACAAACATGTACACTCATATTGTTTATTTAGTCTGATTATATTAGTGATTCATTCATATTATATTGTATTTGATAAATGCAACTGAAACTATCTATATCACATAGAGTATTTTAGGTAAAATTTAAATGAATGAATAGTTTGAAGATAGTTATTGAAACTTTTAAGTTCTATATCATGGATTGATTTCGATGGCGTTTTGTTCTCTGAGCTGGATGATTTGGTCATGGAGCTTTCATCGTTCTGCCCCCAAAAGTGGGGAGAATCCGCTCACCCTCTCGAAATGCTCTCACACGGCCATGCTTATATAGCCTCTGCCAGAGAAGTCCTACTCACTGCCTTCTCGTGGCGAGGGTGTTGTTCACGAAAGTGAGAAGACGAAAAGTGAATGTTCGGCGCTTTAACCGGGTTGGTGGACACGATGAGTCCACCTAGGGAAGTTGGAAAACCCTCATTTCAAACTAATGGTGCACATGGGCTCCAGCATCCTGGCGTATGAATCAATAGTTGGTCATCGGCTACCATGAGACTGCATCTCCTCACGATGTTCCACTACCTTGTGGGTTAGACCGTTAGGTGAAAGACACCGGTTGTGGCCCCCTAAGAAAAACCATCTGCTTCAGTTCGGGCACGTGGGCAATATCACAGCCCTCATGTGGTGTGGTCTACTTATATCCATATAAGTAGTATATAGTGTTGGTCAGACATAGAATGTATTTTGGTAGAAGACCGATGAGCAAAGAACTGAAATAAAGCGCAACCGCTTGGAAAATGCATGAGCAATGGAATAAGAGAAGAAATAGTGAAGATTGAAACAATTGGTTGTTAATTCGCAAATTGACTGTTCACTGTTTGGTTTTCGGAATTTACTCAGATAGTCTGTAATTTTTGCTTAAATACATTCGATTGTCCCCTACCAGTCGTGTTCTGTTCACTACACTCACATAAATTGAATGAGATTTGTGCGGCGCATATATATCTGGTGCTTCCTTGTACCACTATTTATGTGTTTAAATAAATAAATTTCATCGTTCTTCTGAACGACATCATCAGAACAAACTTTGGGTAGAAGTAAAGTGTTTGAATTTCTCTAGATATGGTTCACAGCTTGTCCTGTACACCTTGATATTGATTGGTTCTTGTTGACATTAAATCTGTCATGGTTTATTTATTTGTTTTGATTGTATCGCCATTCAATTTTATGCAAAGTAGAGGATGAAATGACAAAAGAAAACAAACCAAACATCATTTACAAAATAAATTGTGCCAACTACAATAAACACTACATCGGACAAAGCGGATGTCCTCTTCATCTTCGCCCACATGAACATCAATTACCAGTCAAACACTATGACATTTCTTCACCTATATCAATGCACGTGGACAACTGCGGGTGCACATTCGGCTGGAAAATTGTGGAGATTTTGGATAGAGGAAATTCCAAGAACACCAGAGAATTTTTAGAAGCTTAGCACTCAGATCATTCAGCAATAAACAAGCACATTGAAATCAATCCAATTTATCAACCAATCAAGAAAATTATGCAGAAACATAGGAGCAAAAATCAAACCAATAGGATAAACAACCAAAACACAAAAATGAACAATGACAGATTTAAGGTCAATAAGAACCAATCAACATCGAGGTGCACAGAACAAGCTGTGAACCACATCTGGAGAAATTCAAACACTTCACTTCTACCCAAAGGTTGTTCTGATGATGTCGTTCAGAAGAACGATGAAAGCTCCACGACGAAATCATCTAGCTCAGAGAACAAAACTCCATCAAAATCATCCACCTGAGCTACAAATATTCTCAAACATTTCAAAGGAATCGGTGAAATTCAGGAAATAATCTAAACCCCCTAGGTTCGATTCCTAGTATATATATATATATATATATATATATATTGTACAGCTTTTAAAAATCAACGTTCTATAAACAACAATGATCATGAATTCAACAATTTAGGAAATCTGTGGTCATAATTATAAAACTATTTCCATAATTAAATTCACTTGGTACTGTTTGCTTGAATCTTCCCACTGATGTTTAGGACTGCAATCGATCAGTCTCTTATTGGCATATGTGCATACTGTGTGTATTGCCTCGATATAGCCTTAATTCACAAGCATTATAGACAAAGATGGACATTGGCTAACAGTGGAATCCAGGAAGCGCTTGAACATCAACTCTGAGATGCACGCACATCCAGCTGACGAGTCCCAAGTAGGACGAAACGCGCGTCCTTTATTCCGCTGCTAGCCACTATCCATTTTTGTTTATAATTATTTCGATAACTAACTAAATTCAGTTTTTTATATACACACATTTTGTTCAAAGTTTCAGTTGAAAATATGAAATTCAGTCGTTAGAAAGAGTTTGATAAAAGTCTCAACTATCATCTTAAACTGGAACCGCATGATGGTCACCAATATATCTAAGAATTATTTTATGCAATCACTTTTAAAACATCTAACAGTCAGAAGGGGTTTTGTGGAGATTTCAGTATTTTGCATAGTTGAAATTATCAATCAATTGAAGCTAGACCACCATAGAAAACCTGGAAGCACTGGTCGGCCGTTTTGTCCTGTTATGGGACTCCTCAGCAGTGCGCATCCACGATCCCGCACTCGAGAGATTCGAACCGAGGACTTACCAGTCCCACTCCAGAGCACTTAACCGATAGACCGAGACTGGTAGGTCCTAGGTTGGAATCTCGCGAGGCGGGATCATGGATACGCACTGCTGAGGAGTTCTATAATAGGACGAAACGACTGTCCAGTGCTTCCAGGTTTTCCATGGTGGTCTAGCTTCAATCGACTCATGATTTCAACATCTAACAGTATTTAGAAGAATACTAAATTGTAAAATTAATGAAATCGGGTTTAACCTTGTAGTGACCCAGATTATATTTGATTTTCTCGATATTCATTATATTTGTGGTGACAGTTGATTTTTATAGTTTACATCTCGAACTGGCCTTAGTTAGGCACTCAATGAAAACCAATAAGTACTGAAGAGTTGTTTTGTTCTAGTATGGGACTACATATCAATGTGCATCCACGATTGTACCTGAGATTGAACCTAGAATCTTTAATTTAAACCATTGAGTTGCTATTTAATAATCTACATTTTGAATTTCAATCAATTCAGGATATTGTACAATCATGTCCCAATGCTATCAGTAGGTAACTTACTCTTTAATCAACATCGTTATGATTTTATCCTACCTTGTTTTCTTTGTATTTAATCAAGAACCGTATCTATATTACTGATTTCTTCATAACTAGAAGACGATTGTTTGAGAACATTCAGTTTTGTTTAGTATGATCTACGTTTTCCTAACAGAAATCATTGATTTTCTTCTTCAATATCCTATGAATCATGTACCCAAGAACTCAGTTATTCTGAGATGGTGGAGAAGATTTGTAGCTCACTTATTCTATATGCTAAAAGGAAGATCGATAGCCTATGTGATATCTTACTTCGTTTCTTCAAACTACAATGATTCAACAATCATCTTATATTATTCTGAGTAATTCAGACCATAGACTACATATGCTTAGACACATAAAATCCAAAGTTCATAACAAACAATAAATAATCTATTTCAATATGTAGATAACTAGAACACTTATAGTCTAAAATTGAATAATAGCATTATAGATTACTCTTATTATAATCTATAAGGAGTTAATAGATTAAGAATGAGGGCTTAGAATTAGGACAATCTGCAAAATACTATCAATCAACTGTTTAATAAATATATAGTTGAAATCATGAGTCAATTGAAGCTAGACCACCATGGAAAATCTGAAAGCACTGGACGGCTGTTTCGTCCTATTGTGGGACTCCTCAGCAGTGCTCATCCACATATATACATATACATACACATATAAACATATTAAAAGGATATTTATTATTATTATTATTATATCAGTAAAGGATAGATAGACAGTGGCCAGCAGTGGAATCCAGAACGCACGTTTCGTCCTATTTGGGACTCGTCAGCTGGATGTACCTGCATCTCAGAGTTGATGTTCACTCTGGGACTCGAACCCAGTACCTTTCGCTTCAAACGTCATCGTGTTATTTACTTGGCCACTGAGTCCTGATAGCCACTTGCTTGTGCGATGGGGTGAAGTTGAAATTTACTTAATATTGTTTGTTTGGATCTTCTCATTGATGTTTCTAGGACTGCGACTGGTCAGTCTCTAATTGACATATGTGCATACTGTGCGTATTACCTCGATTTAGCCTTAATTCACAAGCATTATAAGCAAAGATGGATAGTGGCTAGCAGTGGAATCGAGGCAATACGCACAGTATGCACATATGTCAATTAGAGACTGACCAGTTGTAGTCCTAACACGTCGATGGGAAGATTCAAACAAACATTACTATCATGCTGGTAGATGTTCACTCATTCGTTGGTTAAGTTGCCTAGTAGTACGTCCGATATAGCTATCTCCACAGGAGCAGCTGAACTTATAAATGCACATAGAGGAGCTCAACTCAGGTAACTTATCCTTCGTTTGAGTAGACATCACTGGTCGACCCGAGAAAGTCAATGCGAGATAGGCTGTGTAGAAAGTTCTACTAATTACTTTTGTTAACCTATCTTTCAGAGTTTCACTAGCTACATCCCCGTTGAATGGTAATTTCATGTATAGAGGCTTCTTACGAACAGTTAAAATCTCCGACTTCTTCCTTGTATCATACATGTACTTTTTAATGAACTCAGCAGGGTAGCCGATCTCAGTCAGTGAGTTATAGATAAATTGCAGTTCCTGACTTAAAGTATCGACAGAACAGATCTTATTTGCTCTACTAGTGAGGCATTTAACCAAGTTTCTCTTATATTGCATAGGTGTAAAGCTATCGAAGTGAGTGTATTGGCAGGCAGAGGGTCTTTTTCTATACACTCTTCTATTTAACGAGCCATCACTTCGCCTAAGTTCTGTGATAGTAGACATAGAATCAACCAATTAGATATTAATGTACAGTTTGAGAATTTATTTTCACAAACAATTGACTTGATTCCTACCTCATTAGAGGACCTAGCTAGGTTTAAGACCACTTTAACCGACAGCAGCCAACAATACAAGAATAGTAAGAGTACTACAAACCGCCTACTTACCAAGCAGCACCGAGACTCTTTAACTAAACTAAGAAATGAGGAAACCTTGATTATAAGCAAACCTGATAAAGGAGGAGGCATAGTGCTGATGAACAAATGGACTACGTTGAAAAGATGGAAACAATGCTTAATGATCCCAGCAAATTTCAAAAAGTCACCAGTTATTACGATATCAATAAAAAAGTGGAAAGCCAATTGACTAATTCTCTTAAGGATTTAAAGAATGAGGGAATAATTACACAAGATATTCATGATTCCATTAAACCGATTAGATCTTATACGCCACGACTATATGGTTTACCCAAAGTTCATAAACCAGGTCTTCCACTGCGCCCAGTCCTAGATATGTTCAATTCCCCTTATCACAAAATTGCAAAGTTGCTAGTACATATCTTAGATCCCTTGCACAAATCAACTGTTAGTACTAGTGTAAAAGATGTATTCGATTTCACTTTCAAAGTGGAAATATTATTAAATAGTAAGATCATAATCTAGTGTTTAAGATTTAAACTTTGAATTCGTTTGAAATTGTATACACTACTAATTCCTAGAGTTGAAATTAATTTATATAAAATCGTAGAACTGTTGAAAACAAAGGAGTAAACGATAACTATGTTGTATATCCTCATGAATATTCTTTTATAATTCCCCTATACGGAATCAAACATAAATGGTTTATAGGTTTCACAATGATCACCATGCTTGTTTTACACAATACAACGGACAATGTATTCAGAACACATAATTACTTCATTTTGAGACTCGTTAACTGTATTTACCTATATCCTCCTAATAAAGTTCAAGCTGGGACTCGGAGTCAGTAAGTTATCTTTCAGATGTAAACTTATTATCGACTGCGCGGCCCAATCCAATATAGCCAATAACTTGTTTGAAATGCGTCAAGCAATCCATACAGGATTCATATATCCCAACTAAGAATTATTAAAATTTAATCCTGAATGTTAGTAACGACGTAATTCAAATTGTTGGAATTCGATTTAACAAACTTTTTTACTCTTATCAATTTATGATGCTTTTGATCATCTAACATCTCACTCTGACTATGATTGACTTGAATAACTATCCACTGCTATGATTTAAGCTCATTCAAACTCCAAATATTTAACTTTCTGTCGTAGCAGTAGTATCCTCTATTTTATTGAGATCATGGGCTGATCAATGTTAGATCACCATTGAAATCCTGCAGATACTGAATGGCCATTCCATCACAGTTAGGGACCCCTTAGCAGTTCTCCTTCATGAGCCCACCCTCACAAATCAAGCACAATACCTTCGGTATGGTACGCGAACACCTAATTTCTAGACCACCGAATCTGCATTTAACAGTGTCAATGTTCGATATCAATCAATCCACAATATTGTACGACATTCTTTATTGTATCCAGTGGATAACAGCCTCAAACCTGACACGACTGGACTTCTTTCGTCACGGATTCTCACTAGAACTCTATACTGATAGTCATCATCTCCTCACTATCAACTAGCTTCAATAGATAACTCTCGGAGTCTTGTTGTAATTGCAAAGTTCTCGTGAGAAAATGAAGGTCCTCGTTTCGAGCCCAGCGTAAGGAACAGTGGATGCACATTGTCGTTAGGGAGTGCCATGCTGCGATGAAACAGCCATCTAGTGTTTCTAGCTTTTTGATGGTGATTTAACACTGATCAGTTCATGATTTCAGTGAATCTCAATAATCTCCCTAACCCTATGCCGATAATCTCCTACTTCCTCTACTTCTCCAATTTTCTTCTTCATTCCTTTCTTTTTCAAGGAGATTCTATCAAAATATCCAGAAGTAAAAGAACTAATGGGACCAGATATTAAATTGGCTTATTTTAGTTCATTTGAAGTTTTCTTGCAATTTATTGTAGCTTTATGTATATCAATTTATCAACCACCATGGTTATTATGGTTATTTTTAACATATACAATTAGTGGAACAATTAATCATTCACTTGGTTGTGCTATTCATGAAGTTGGACATAATTTAGTATTTGGTCATAAATATGGTAAAGCAAATCGCTTATATTCAATATTTATTAATTTACCAATGGGTTTACCTATTGCTATATCTTATAGAAAATATCATCAAGCTCATCATAGGTAAGATCATTTTTATTGATATTATATTACTCATAAGTAATATAATTGTGTTTAAATTTAAGTTTTAATGATTTGTATTATCCCCATTGTTGATATTTAGGACATATATGTATCCTGTCCCAAATTGTCGTTATATAGCGATCATGATACAACATTACATAGAATAGGCCGTTGCTACTACTTTGACGTAGTAGTCTGGCTTGCCTATTGTGATACTGGCTGGAACAATTGTTCCTCATGGTCCTACCATGCCATTCAGGTCGGTTGAAGAGCAGTAAGACTAAAAGTAGAAAACCCAAGGTCCGAAGGTGAAGTCGTACTGCTGACTGTACATAGGTGTGACAGCAGTAAGGTGTTTCCTTCAGACAACCAGCATAACAGCGATGCAGCCTTCCCACAAGGAGAGGTGTGCTTAGAAAATGTCGACCCTAAAGATGCACACCTCACCTTATCCCATGGAGATCTGTTTCTGGCGGTAAGGTTCCAACAAGTACGGCGCTAACACAAAAATTACCCACTAAAAGGTCATGTGTTACCGACCTCAAGCAGTTATCTCTTGGGCACTGCGGTCACGCTCTCAGGTCATTAAGACCACTTCTAATCCAATTTCCTTTTCAGGTACCTCAAGAAGAACCTTTCCACGGTGAGGGCGACCGGGAAGTGATGACTGCCCTCATACCTCAAACAGCACTCAAGATCATTGAGAATAGATGGAATGTCACTAGTAGTGGAATTCGTACCCAGTAGTTAAACGTATAACATCAATGTTACAAGTAAACAGCACTGGATCCGAGTTCTGCAATGAACAGGTGCATACAGCTGATGAGTTCTTAATAGAACAAAAATGAGCTCATTGATTTCACTATTAACCAAACTTCATGTATTCAATATCCATCTACTGGCCCCTGAGTAGTTTAAGTACTGAGTGCTGGGCCTAAAGACCCTAGGTTCGATCTCTAGTGAAGTTGATGGGAAATCTTATATTAGGAAGAAGCAACTATCCAACGCTTCCTGGCTTTCAATGGTCGTCTAATCAGATTTAATAAAGTAAACGAAACTTCAAATTAAAATAGCTTTAAAACACACTAAAACAATCGAAATTTTGTCATATTCACTGATCTAAGTTATTATGTTTTAGCTTCATATGTGTATGAAACATATATATTTTTGTCGAAGAAACAGATGAATATGTCAGTAGAGACGTCATAACTCTACAATAAGAATATTTTCAATATATTAGTATTGGGGTATTTTTGTAGATGATTAAATTATTGTTTGCATCATAAAATGACCTCAGTTAGAGAAGCATAAAAATCTAACTAGTACTGGATAGCTGTTTTCATAGTATGAGACATCCCATTGATGTGTATCCACAACCTCAGTAGGAATGAAAACTGGAGACTTCAGACCTAACAGTAACCATGGAAGTGGTGGAAATCGATTCACACTCAACATCGTCCAACTCCACTGGTCATGGTTTCTCACTATAAATCCGAAAATTGTCGCTCTCAAATTACTACCATTAGGCGTATGATTGTTATTAATATGTAAAACACTGAACTTTAACTCAGTCTGTTGATGGTTAAGCGCTCATCGTGACACCTCTCCGATCCTAGGTTCGATCCTCTTGAGTGATGTACACTAGTGAGAGGTCTGACACTATAATGAATTAGTTGTCTAGTACTTATTTAAACACATAAATACTGGAACAAGAAAGCACCAGATACATATGCACCGCACAAATCTCATTCGATTTGTGTGAGAGCTGTGATACTGCCTGAGTGCCCAAACTGAAGCAGGTGGTTTTCTTAAGGGGCCACATCCGTATCTTTTGATCTAAATGTCTGATCCACAAGGCAGTGGAGCATCGTGAGGAGATGCAGTTCCATGGTAGCCGGTGACTAACGATGTGTACTATTGGTTTGGAATCAGGGTTTTCCAACTCCCCTACTACTCATAATCTCGATATCTCTATCCAGTTTCCTGCTCCATGTGTCCGTCAGTCTATTTCTTTTCTTTTTGTTTGAGTATTTCAAGTTAGGGCTTGCCTCGTTATATGGTTTGATGAATTCCACGATGTATCTCTTAGTCACCTTCGTGTTTTTTTTAATTTCCTATTGTATAACAATAGATTTTCGCTTATCCAATTAACGGATCATTCTTGTATAGTTCAAAGCATGATTCAGTTGAAGCTAGATCGTCATGGAAAACCTGCAAGCAGTAAACTGTCGTTTCGTCCCATTGTGCGACTCCTCAGCAGTGTGCACCCACAACCTCACCTAGCAAGATTCGAACCTAGGACCAACCAGTCTCGTGTCAGAGCACTAAACAGATAGACCACTGAGCCTTTATCCGATGATGTTTAAGTCTAACCATGTCGTGGATGCGCACTGCTGAGGAGTCCCACAATAGGGGACGAAACTGCCGTTCAGTACTTTCAGGTTTACATTGATGGTCTAACTTCTACTGACTCATACTTTCAACTATGAAAAATACTGAAATCTCCACAAAAAAAACCCTCACTTCGAATTATTCTTTCTTTATCTTCTTCTTTTTTTTTATAATTTTTTTTTTCAGATGGTTAGGTCATGAAGATGGTGATGCCGATATGCCATTATTATTTGAAGTGAAATTATTTACACATCCAATAAGTCGTTTTATATGGTTAATTATTCATCCTATATTTTATGCATTTCGTCCATTTATTAAACATCCATTACCTTTAACCTTATGGGAAATCATTAATTTCATCATACAAATTATATTTGATATCATAATATGGTATTATTTTGGTATATGGACATTAGCCTATTTCATTATTGGTACATTACTTGGTTTAGGTTTACATCCATTATCAGGACATTTTATAAGTGAACATTATTTATTTGCTGATCAACAAGCAACACATTCATATTATGGAATTGGTAATTATTTAATGTATAATTTAGGTTATCATGTTGAACATCATGATTTTCCATATATTGCATATACAAAATTACCTAAATTAAAAATGATTGCTAATGAATATTATGATCAATTACCATATCATAAATCATTATGTAAAGTAAGTTATTGATAGTGTTGGTGTTGTTGTTGTTGTTGGTGGTGGTGGTTTTGTTTTTAATTCATTTAGTTAGATGATTATTGATTAGATAAGAGTAGAGTTTAAGAATGTGAATGCCCGGTGCTTTAACCGGGTTGATGGCCCGCTGTCTCTCTAGAAATGCTCTCACATGACCATGCGTATACAGCCTCTCTTAGGGAAGCCCTACTCACTGTCTTCTCGTGGCATCACTGTTGTTTACAAAGCTCTGAAGACGAAAATTGAATATCCTACGCTTTAACCGGTTTGGTGGAAACGGTGAATCCACTTGGGGGAGTTGGAAAACCCTGGTTTTTTAAACCAATGGTGCATATGGACTAGCTCCAGTATCCTGAGGGAACAAATGGAGTATGAATCAATTGTTGGTCACCGGCTAGCATGGGAATTCATTTCCTTATGATGCACCACTGTCTTGTGGATCAGATCTTTAGGTCAAAAATTCCTGGTGTAGCCCCTTAAGAAAACCACTTGCTTGAGTTTGGGCACCTGTGCAGTATCATAGCCTTCACACAAATCGAATGAGATTTGTGTGGCGCATATATATCTGGTGCTTCCTTTTACCAATATTTATGTGTTTACATAAATAAACAGTTTACAAAAAACTCTTAAGTGAGGCTAGAGTAACTTTGAAAATACCCATCAACTTGCTAGGGTTAAACTTAGTTACTTTACCTACACCTGTTACTCCCAATGCAGTATAAGCCACCAACCAGAATTCTCTAACCCACTCTGTCCAACAGTTCAAATCATTGACTACAGTCTGAATAGCTCAGTCATAACATTTCAGATTATGACACTCAAATTCAAGTTGCCTTAACAACTATATTTAACTAGTCAAAATATATTATTACTGAGAAATGGAGGTTTTAATGTATCTGTCAATAATATTCCAATTCTATAGATAAATTCACTTAGCATTGTTTGTTTGAATCTTCGCATTGATGTTTAGGCCTGCTACTGGCCAGTCTCTTATAGGCACATGTGCATACTGTGTGTATTGCCTCGATATAGCCTTAATTTACAAGCATTGTAAGCAAAGATGGATAGTGGCTAGCAGTGGAATGCAGTTTGACGCGCGTTTCATCCTATTTGGGACTCATCAGCTGAATGTAACTGCATTTCAGAGTTGATGTTCACTCTGCGACTTATAATGCTTGTGAATTAAAGTTATATCGATGCAGTACGTACAGTATGCACATATGCCAATAAGAGACTGATCAATTCCAGTCCTAAACATCAATGAGAAGATTCAAACAAACAATACTATGTGAATTCACTTTTTATCAACTATACATAAGAAATGTTAACATGTACTTAGTTTTACACTTGCTCACTTATTCAAACACTGACTTTATTAATATCTTCAGTATCATGGTTACTAAATTTTGATTTTAAACATCGTTCCCCCTTATTTTTATGCCATTTCTATTCTCTTAAATTACTTATCTAATTACATTTAATACAAGATTTTACCTATGATTCTAGAGATTTTATACAACTTTTAAAAAATTCCATCACAAACTGACAACTTCTAATATGAATTTGGGTGCGTTTAGATTCCAGTTATCAAGAATTTAGAAAAGGACACTGATGTTTTTACAGAGATTGAATGACTCAAAAATTCCCAGTTTCATTGTAGTCATAATACCATTTAGTTCATGAATTAGTACTTTGAAAAGTTCACATTTCAAACTTCAATCAACTTAAAGCCATCCGATTTCTTCAACAGTCCATCCAATCCATACTATATTTGCCTTACACTGTTGCCACTAAAACTTGAAATGAATTTATTAAAAATTTAATATTAATGGCGTTTGATGCGAAAGGTACTGGGTTCGAGTCACAGAATGAACATCAACTCTGAAATGCAGTAACATCCAGTTGATGAGTCCCAAATAGGATGAAACGCGCATCAAACTGGATTCCACTGCTAGCCACTATCCATCTTTGCTTACAATGCTTGTAAATTAAGGCTTTATGGAGGCAATACGCACAGTATGCACATATGCCAATAAGAGACTGATCGATTGCAGTCCTAAATATCAATGGGAAGATAAAAACAAACAATAACAAGGGAATTCATACATTAAATACAATATTTACATATTTTACTTCAGTTGTCCTTTACATACTTCGTGATTCTTTTAATTCCCTTGATATTACAACTGCTCACTGTTTCTCTCTAATTCAATCTCCTCAATCTTCTGTTGAGAGGCATTCCACTTCCAATTTTTGCCACATACTACTTATATCTGTCACATACCACATTATCAAGTATTTGTCTGAGTCTAAACAAATGTAATTCAATTTTCTATGTTCATCTGAGTTGTATATGTAGACATGTAGGTAAGATACTCTATCGACACATTAAAATAGATAAAATGTAACATTACCAAACCATTTCAGTTGTTGAAGGGGTTCTGTGGAGGTTCGCTTAGTCCTTAGATTGTATTCGACATAAATTAATCTCACTTGAAATGTTTTTGAAACCCAGAGAAGACTGGACAGATATTTTATTTTAGAAAGAGACAACCTCATCAAAGTTCTCACATAATCCGAATGACAATCAATCCCAGAATCTTCAGATCTTATGGTTAAGACTGTTCATAAGTAACTTACAGAAACTTATTTCAACCATAACTATTACTTATCAAATAGTTCTAAACCACCGAATTGATATTCAATAGTGTACATATCTGATTTTAATCCATTGACGATATGAGGTTACAATTTTGGATTGTCTGTAGTGAATAATTATCTGATATTCGACATAATTGAACTCAGAAGGAGTTTTGTGGAGTATTCACGTATACCAATAAGAGACCGACCAATTGCAGTCCTAAACATTATCAAACAAGTAATACTAACTTATTCATTGTGTTTTTTTTTGTTTTTCTTCAGGTTTTATGGGATTTTGTATTTGCACCAAATAATGGTCCACAAGCACATTGTGTTACATCACAAGATTTATCAAAACCAGAAATCTATAAAAATCAATATTTATCAAGTAATCTATTGAAATGTACTAATGCAACTTTGAGAACATCAAAATCTGGACAAATTAAAAAGCCGGAGATAAAAAAGAAAGAATAAGCCATATATTTGTGTAAATTTCCTTTTGAGTGATTACAACGAGTGTACCCTTTATCAATTGATTATACTCAATAGTAATTTTATATGTTGTTAGTTATGTAACAATGTTGATTACTTCCTTTTGATGAAAAGAGATTTCTTTTTTCAAAAAACCCAAAACACCAACACATATCATCTGTGATCTCATTCTGTCTGTGTTACTATGTATTTTTCATATTGTCCAGTTTTTTTTAAATATATATCTATATAAGTAGGTTTCCTTGTAAACCTTGTTACTGTTGTAGTTTGAATATAAATATGATGATTTCCCCCGCCCCCATCATTCTCTCACATTTTTTAAATGAACAACATTTAACGTTGTGCTCATACAATCTCAACAAAATAATGATAATCTTGATCATAATATTATGATATTAAGTATTAGGCAGCAATATATACAACCACTCACATACAAATGTAGTGAACGAAGACTTGCTTGGGATAACCAAGTCAACGTTAAATAAACTATCACAAAGAGGTTCAGTGAAATGTGAAAATCATACAACAATACATCATTTACATATCCTCTTTTAATTGTCTCCAACAAATTTCATTTTACTTTCATTGCAGTTGCTATATTGATAGCCTTCAGTTTCCTTCTCTTTTCTCGTCACTTCAATCTTCTCAACTGTCCACTCACAGATGTTCCATTTCCGACACTACTTACTTATATATACAAACATAGGTAGAATACACCACATAGATATAGATAAATAAATGAACTCTTCCTCTCTCTCTCTCTCTCTCTCTCTCTCTCTCTCTCTCTCCTTATCACTTTCCATTTCATCCACTTCATCATTCTGTTATTTTTCATTATGAATGAATATCCTTTTATCAAACTATATTGATCATCATTTCTATTTGATAATGACAGTTGCTTTCAATTATTCTAGTTGTGTTCTATATCCACTATTCCTTTCTCCTTTCGTATTCTAAACTATTCAGTGTTCAATGTCATACTTTGTACTTTCATTGACAATCGTTTAAAGTAAATGTCTAAATGTGTGTTAATTACTGATTGGTGATGTTAACAGTAATAGTAGTGATCTTCGGGAGACGATGTGAGTATGATTGAATAAACTTGACAAAGAAATTTTAAATTTAGAATAATAGAAATTCAATAGTTAAAGATCTGAGTGGATCTGAGCTAGACGACGATTGAAAATTTGGAATGAATGGAAGGCGGTTTCGTTCTGATATATTACACACCTCAGATTGACTCATTCATTCAACTAATAAGGTTATTGCAATCTCTATAAGTCTCTTTCTGATCAAAATCATGTGATGCCTGGTGACCAGTTTCACGATGAATTTCCTGTAGTTTTAGTGAGAAGGTGTAACCAGTGGAGATGATCTATGTCGGATGGAGACATGAATGTACCCCAGAAAATGGAAGATAGTCGCGCAACTACGTGGATTGTTTGTAATTAAATCATGAATTCGAACTGATGAGGAGTATAATACTAGGATGAAAAGGTAGTCCTCTACTTCACGGTTGTCAGCGGCAGTCTATCTTTGATCCACTCATGAATCCAATTATTAAAACTACTACAATCTTCACTACTCCCCGTTCAGATTATCATAATCATAATAATTCATTAATTAGTTTGTGTACTCAATCTAGTTAGAATACTTGTTAATTAGATCCTTAAGACATCTCACAAATGTTGTCTTCCAAATATTACATCGTTGATTGAATAGGTGCACAATTATAGCCAGTCACTACAATCTTCTGTATACTAATAATCATTTTGTGCACATTGGGACACACTGCCAATAGAAAGTGTAGAAAGTCTACTGGTAGGCTAAGTTCATCAGACTTCAATCATTTCGGTGTGAAATAGCATTCAATAACAATGTAGAAACATCAAGTCATATGTCATATGCCTAATAAGAGAGGCCAGAATATCCTAGGTTCGATCATTGGTGAATATGAATTGCTGAAGTATCACATAAATTGGAAATGTAACAGTTCTAAAGCATTGAGAATTGTGAACAGTTACATAATGTTCACTTGAAAATATACACACTCAATTGCTTACTATTCCGTCGGATTTTAGAATTTGTAAAATAATAAGAATTTTCATCCGTTTTTAATTAGACACTGATATCAATGTGTAGAATGACAATGGAAATTACACAATCAAAGAATTCAGCTCAGTGAATTCAATAACGTCAATATTTCACATGGTTAAGTGAATTCCGGCTTCCTACAATAAAGGATTAGAGCTAAGGGAAGACAGTGTGTGTGTATCTGTACCTCTTGTGACCGATTCTGAGTGATATCGTTCAATGTCGGTGGTGTCATAAATACAAACAACCGTAACTACTAGAATTTCACACATTTGTCAATCCGTTGGCCAAATTCGCTGAAATTCCTAATTCTCACATCTATAGTCATCATTCATTTGTTCAACTGTGCTCACAAAACATTGCAAAGACATTTATAACCCAGTGTAACTTGTGAATCTCTTCACAAACCATGTTTCCCATCAAAAATTTAAAACAGAATAGTGAATGGATACACGGTGTACTGACTCGTAATATGGCAACTCACAAACAGAAAATAATGCTTATTGCACTAACAACTGTAAACATGTCCAATTCATTGCTTGAGATGTTCCTAATTGTTCTTATTGAGAAATAAATCCGATACACTAGTAACCCACTAAATCTGAATGACGAAACATAAATTGCAAACTTAATTGACATCATCTAATTATAGAGGTTTTATTATTTCCGTAGAGGTCACATTAGCTTATATACCAGTTTGACAATTACATTCTCACTTAATACTTCATCTAAAACAAAATTTCAATGCATCCTAGGTTATTAAAGAAACTACCTAATTTCGTTGCGAAACCCTTAAGTATCGGTTTCAATCTATCCGTTAATCGAATTCGATTATCGAAAAATTGGAAAAACACCATAGTAAGACATGTATTCAAAACAAGTGCAAAACATAAAACAGAGAAATACCGATCTGTTAGTCTAAACAGGGTAGTTGTTCAAAACGCAGAAAATATTATTCGGAATTACCTGTTTACGTATCTCAACGAAAACCGGTTCCATTTAGAAAAGCCTCATGGCTTTAGAACAGGTTATCCCTGAATCACAGAATTATTGGTGGCTCGTGAAAGCTGGTACGCTCTAACGAAACAAAACTTACCTATATACGATGCATACATTGACTACAGAAAAGCTTTTGACAAAGTCTTGAACAACCGGCTGTTATATAAGTTAAGAATATATTTGGGTGGGAGCCTGAAAATCTCAATAGCAAGACTAGATCTAATTCTAACAGGAGAAACAATCTGACTGACCTAATCATCAATAGCCTATCGGAATCAGTATTTCAGAGAGTTGATCAAAAAGTAAATCATTTAATTATAAATGTTTTATTAATTAGTTTAGGGTCACATTAGATTACATACCAGTTTAACAATCACGTTCTCAATCAATAAGACGATAATTTGACAGCTCATTAGAATTCAGTAATTAACAAGAGCATTATGTTTGCATATCATCATTGGTCAATATTCTTTTGTCTCCAGTTTAGAACAAGCGATACCACTGTAGGAACGAAAGAAATAATTGCCTGAATCACTGAAATAATCAGAAAACCGAAGAATCCCATTGTGTTGTGAAGAAGTGGAAGAAGAAAGATGAGGAAGTAGGCGATGCAGTCAACTAAATTTGATTGTCCACAACTTCACTCACTTAACATGTACAATCGTATTTATAGTCAATTTTTATTTCCTAAAATAGTATTCCATTGCGAGATAGAAAAAGGGGTTAATTAATCATCGTCTCCTCCTTATTATTACACTATCGAAATTTAAATGATAAACACACACACACACAACTGAAGTGGTATGTTGTCAATACTTAGAAAGGATTAATTGAAAGGGAATATTAGATTACGTGATGTGATCTGGATCCATCTTTGCTTACTACAACAATAATTAGTTATCAACGAATTATCATGTGAATGAAGTAAGATTATCAAAATAGATAGGAGTGCACAACTAGTTGAAGTATGGTGATGAGATCAGACACAATTATGAATAACATCCAGACACATAAAAATTAAGACATCTCGTTATCTCCCTCCCTTTCCTTATACTTATATCGCATATCGTCTGGATTGTATTCTGAATTGTGTCTGATATCATCATCATTACTACTTCAACTAATTTTGCACCTCTATTACCTTTAATTATTGTAAGAAAGAAAACAGTTTTGGTCACATCTCAATGCATTCACATAATCATATTAATAATAATTCGTTGCTAACTTGATAATTGTGTTGTGAATATTGACATTACGTAATCTAGGATTATAATCATTTGATTGCATCATCATGTCTATTCTTTGATCACATGTTCTTATGGAACTATTAATATTTGATCATAAAAATGTTCATCTTTTGTACGTGTAATTGTCCATTTTGACAGATATTAACCACACAACTATTGAGGTGATGAGTTATGACTCGACTTAATCATCTGTTCGAGAACTAAATTCCTGATCGTTTCACATTCCTCTTTAGATCTTCATTCATAGGAGAGCTAGAGGAATAGCTTCTATTTTACCTATGTTTTACATTTACATTTTTATTGAGCCAACTCATCTGACAACATTTATAACTTAGAAGAAAGCCTCTCGTGAGGCGGAGTGTCTGGAATTGACTAGATTCTCGAAGACTGACTGCTCTAATTCTATGGATAACCAGGTAATATAATTATAGAAAATGCATTTTGTGCGGCCAAAATGACCTGTTCCACACGAGCAAGTTAACCTTATTCATGATTAGATTTGAGGAGTCCAATAGTAGAAAAAACAATCGTTCCGTCCTTCCAGCTTTCCAATGGTCAGCTAACTCACTATTGACCTAGTACTCTATACTTCGTAGACGATTTCAAATGACGATTTAGGTGATGAGGTGTGATCCGACTTTATCATCTGTTCAAGAACCAAGTTCCTGGTCGTTTGACATTCCTTTCTAGATCGTCATTCAGTGTAGAACTCTAGTGTTTGTTTACCACTTGTGTGTATGCGCACACGTGTGTGAATTTGGAGATACTAGCATGGTTAGTCAATAGCAATCCATTCTTTCCTAACAGTCATTTAGTTGATACAGTTCGTTTTTAGAACAGGGGTATGTGGAGATTGTAATAATTACAAATAGTTGAATTCCTGAGCCGATTTGAGCTAGATCGTCCTTGACAAACTGTAAGCACTGAACCGTCGTTGCTTACTAGAATAGAACTATTTGACAATGCGCATCCGTGATTCTACATGCAGTACTAGAACTCAGGAACTTGAGTCTCTCGCACGTGAACGCTTAACACCTAGAAAACCGAGCCGGTTTCAAACGGTGTAGATGTCTAGATTCAATCGATCCAGGATCTCTCTCAACCATCTTCCATTTTCTTAGGTAGATAGATACCTGTATCTATCCAGTCTCTAAGCAGTGCTTTCAGGTTTTCATGTGTGGTCGAGCTTATATCGACTAATGAATTCAATTATTCACATTTACTACAATATCAAATAAACTCTATCTAATAATCATCATCATGTGCTCACTGTTGACTGGATTCAACACGGATTGCCTGAAATGCTAGTGAGAAGCCCTGAACAGTGGTGCACAATCGGTGTCGGTTAGAGCATATATCTACCTTCGACTATCGACGATTTATCGTATATTATCTGTTTTGATCGGATTATTTGAAATACACAGAAATGAATCAGTAATGAATTACTTCAGTGAACTGATCAATGAATCAATTTTTCTTTGTTTTTTACCCTAATCGTTGTTATATTTTTGTATGCAGTTATTAATAACCGACCTTTCTTTTTTTATCCATAATGAGTAGGCTACAGTAACTTAGGTTGATTAGGTTGTATTGTTACAACAAAGAATTATCGTGTGGTCTTATAGATGTTCAATGTAGAATCAATCTATTGAATAATTGGTTAAATGGATTTAAGAGTATGAGGTTGTGG